CCTGCTGCGCTTACGGGTTTGTTGTGTAGGTTTGGGGTTTACTGCTGCGCCGTCCGCTTTTGGCTTAATGTCTGCTATCACCCAAGCCTTTGCGTCTTTGAGGTGTGCCACTCCCGACTCAGCAAGTTTGCCATTTGCCCCGCCTTTTCAATGTGGGGTTGCCACTGCCGATGCCGCAGGCGAAGCAGTGAAGCTGACCACCCCACATAGGCCAAGCACTTCGGGGTCATGCTCAAATCGGACTTTTCCAGCAAAACGGCACCCACTGGATGCATACCACAGGCAACCACTTCCTTCCAACAAGTTCCGCGTGAATGCAAGGCTTATGAAACGAAGTCTGAGCTACAGGTATCACACATACGCAGCGCAGATAACGCTTGGTGGGACTTGTCGGATCGGTATGATGACGGAGCATGTAGGTCAATGTAGGTGTATCGTTTTCGAGACACAGAATGTCGATAACATGCTCTTGTGTGGAAGTGGTTTCCGTTGGTGGACAGTTCTGTGCTTAGGCACCTGACATGGGCGCCGTTTGGGCAAATCGTGCCCAGTGTTGGCTCAAAATGGGTGATCATGAGAAGGCCCGGCTCAGAGTTTAGACAGGAGCTGCTCTTCAGCTTTCGCGGCCAGGCCTTCGCAGATGCCGAGAAATGCACGGAGGCTTTCGCCAAGTGCTTCTCTGAAGTTCAGCGCAAGACGCGTGCTCTCATTCGAGGTCGAGCCGATGAACCCAAAGGGCTGGTTCCGGAAGGGCATCAGCTAAGCTCTTGGACCCGCTGAGTGGCACTTGCAGAGAGCTTTTTGCATCTGTATGTCCACTCAGGCCTGCATGCAATGCAACGCTACGCGGAAGCCATTCCTGCTCTCCTTGAGGTCACATGAAGGGTGCACCGTTTCCCATGGCTTCTGCTGCAGCAGATACCAGCACTTGAACACCCTCAATTTTCTGGTTATGAAGTCTTTGTTTCACCTGGGCTGCGATCTCCGTCCTACCTACACAGTAGGCTGATGCAGTGGTGGTCTTTGACGAAAGCAGGATGCGGGGTCTGGTGTCATCGCTCTTTTCCGCCGTCTCGCGTTTGGCAGCCCTCTTGGCTCCGTGCCTCCCTCCCTTGGGCAGGGTTTGCTGAGTTGAGTTTCGCAGAACGATTAGTCAGGCTGAGAAGTTGGAGCCCTCCAACAAGCAGATCCTGGATGCGATCAAGATGGCCCTCACCCAAGTGCAGAGGTCTTTACGCCTTTAAAGACAACAATTGCATCATCATCCCTCTGTTTCCTTAGCCCACGGCCTGGGACATGAGATGAGGCTTGAGGGATTCTGCCCATTTGCAGTTCTCTGTGCTACAGAGATGAGGCCCAGCTCATGGCCAGGAAGTCCACCTGAGTCCCCACATCACGAGAAGCTCACAGCTCTTTCCAGGCTTTTTTGCATTCGGGCATGTCCTGGTACGGACCAGCACAGAGTGCTGTCGAAACCAGGGTCCGGCATGTAGGGTCATCCACATCAAATTGCAGTGCCCAGCCCATGTACAACTTGCAGGCGCACTCGGTGGAATTTCCGTGCAAGCATGTCTTGCCTTGTACAGATGTGAGCCGACATGCTGGTGGATTCCACGGCAAAAGTTGCAGTCAAGTGCTGATCCTTTCAGCCAGTCTTCGTGGCGAGTGCGAGACTTGTTTCAGACTTGACCGTTCGCTATTGTATGTTTTCTTCGACACTGAAGTGTAATTTCCTTCTCGGATGCCCCGCAAGACCTAGCAGGAATTTCACACAGCATGTTTCACAATTTTTCAATGTTACATGCCTTTGTGGTACATCATGAGGCTATGAAGGTCAAGCTGATACCAAGAGAAGCAGTAGTCTGAATGCGCTGCGATGGTGTCGCCGGCCACATCTCTCAGGGTGTTGTCATGGCACCGAATGCTGGATGGCATGGTGAGGCCGGTCTTTGTCACGTCTTACGACGTCTTACCAGCAAACGCCCCCCGAACCTGCTCGGCCCCATGCAGGCACGTCCTCTGCGTTCCCGGCCAAGGCCTTGGAGGCCGGAGCTGCTGTTGTGCGGGTGTCTGAGAGTGTGTGTGTGTGTATGTGTTTTCATTTAGGACATAGGAGAATATTTCACCAAAAAGCAGGTGGTAGCGACAGAGTATTGGGTATCGCTGCCAACATTGACGCTCATTTACCTTGCTGATGCACTAGGACTGGGAGACGTAATGGTGTGTACCTGCATTACTGTCCAAAGCACCCTTAAGGCTGTTGTTTCATCGTGGCCACAGAAGGTGAAGTGAGCCGAAGCGAGGAAGCGAAGATGTAACAATCTAGCCAAAAGCACCCATCTGACTAAGGATGACTGGTCTTCAAGTGCGTGTCTGTGTGTGTTTTTTTTTGCTCTCCTTTGTGTCTTCGATGTCAAGAGCTTTGTTGAAGCACCCCATGCACTCTGGTTGGCTCAGCATGACGCATTGTATCGCGGTGCGTGACTAGTCGGCGGTACCGACCTGTTGCTTGCTGTCAAGAACATCAGCCAGTCGTAGCAGCTCAAAGAGTGCCGACAATCACAATCATTCAGAAGCATTGCTGTGCGTTTTAGAGTTGTTGTGGACTCCACGCGAAGAAAGCCGAAGGGAGTTTCATTTCTTCAGATGTCTCAGCATGACGCATCGCATGATGTTACGCAGAAGGAGGTTGACGGATATTTGGTGCGACCTCTGCCGATGCCAACATTGGCACGCAAGATTGGCCGGACCGCTCTATCAGTGATTGGCGGCGAGCTCCCCGTCACTGTGCAGGAACTTGCCAAACGGGCCTACCTATACACGCTGGATCCGCTGCGAAATCCTGTGAAGGAGGTTTACGATGCTTCAAGCTCCGTCTCGGAGATGCCACCCATGCTCGGCATATTCAACGATATTCCCACCCATAAGATGCGCGAAGATGAGGTCGCAGCCTGGGCTCGTGCCGGGTTTTCGTTCATTGTATCAGATGCAGAGCATCGGCAGATATCCGGTTGGCAGGGTCGAGAGGAGAATGCGATGATCGCAAGAGCTGGCATGCTCCCTGTGCAGAGACTTCACAGGGAGGCAGTGTCTCAGCATGGTGATGCGCTGCAGCTGGGGGCGCGTGCTACCATGAGGCCTTATGCTACAAAGCTCGTTGAAGCAGAGCAGTATTTCGACAGCATCACCTTTCCTCCTGGCCGGCCGGGTACAGCCAGCAAGGACTCAAGGGGCGGATACCCGACCAGACTTGGCGATCGTACGCTTTGCTTTACTCCTGACAGTCTCCGAGCCTCGGAAAGCGAAACACAGGGATGGCTGCAATTCGAGACAAGCGAGTACATCCTCAATGTCTCTCGGTCTCGCCCTGGTTTCATGTCCCGTTTCCTGTCAGTACTGCATGCTAGATTCAACCTGTTGGCAGTCGCTTTGCTTTGCGATCATTCGCACTCAGTCGCCAAATCTAGTTGAATCATGTCTTTGCTGACAATGATTGCGACGTCGTTGCCCTTTATATCTTCTGTGCGAGCAGGATGCAAGAAAGCATGAATTCTGCTTGCAAGCCAAGGCCGAGATTCGTGACTCTGTTCTTGACCTGATGTGTCGGCAAGGTCCAGGAGAGTCTACCAAATCCCATCGTCACGAACGGGAACCGTAGCAAGTCAGCTTGTTACAGCCATCGATCTCCAGGAAGAGCCGTTGGCTTCGTTGGACCCTTCGATGCCGTCATGCGTGACGGCATTCATCCGAGTATGTCGTCTGGCATGTTGCTTGTCTATGCATCTGTGCCGTCTAGTCGTAGCGTCCACTTGCCGTGAAGGCAGAATTCCGGCAAGATGTCATGTGAAAAATCTGCATGAGCCCTTGTTTCAGGAATCAGCTCTTTCAAGAGGCAGCCAAGCGAGGTGTCGTGATGGGACGAGTGTGCGGGTCTGGTGTTATCTCGGATCCAAGCGACATCGAGGACTTGCTGACGCATGCTTGTTAAGGTAATACTTTCTCCAACATGGTGAGAGATGAGAAATCCGACAGGATGCCATTGTAGAGGCCATTCAACAGGGGAGCCGGTCGCATGGCCAGCTTATCGTGTTGTTGCCCACGAGTACATTTTGAAGATTTTGAGATTCGAAGCTGAGAACTGCCTCTTTTAGCGGATCTCATGCTGCGACATCGGAGGCTTATTTCAGTACATCGCTTCACCTCCGACCTGCCCTTCTTTGGAGCACGTGCAGTGGCCGAACCATTCTGGCGCGCCTGCGCTCGCTGTGGCTTTTGAAAAGGTTCCGTGCGGTCGAGCATGGAAGGCTGCAGATTTGCATGGCTTCATGATGGCAAATGCTTCGCGTCGTCGGCCTCGGTCCCTGGAAAGCTAAGGTGAAGAGAAGTCATCTCCACATCTTTTGGTGGGGGGCCTCCGGAAGGGGGAGCCGAGGAAGACAAACTACACTTTAAGGGGGTCGGGGCGGCGCGGGGGGTGGGTGGCCACTTAACCGGGGTTGGCGGAAAGAAAAGAGGGAATCTCTGACTGCTTTGGCCTGTGGAGGAGCTGCAAAGTTGCATTCAGTACAGCATGCTATTCCAATACATTTTGTGCATGTGAGGCTCTTCGCACAATGGTGGATCTCGTGAAGCTATCACTGTCAAGGACTGTTGCAGCCTCTGTATAAGGTTCGCTTGATCCCACAAGCGAACGCAGGACAGCATCCAGCAGCGCTACCTGGTATCTGTCTGAGTTCACTGACATTGACTGAAGTGTTGACGACCGCTGTGTCTATGCCGATCGGACCTGCGGCAGGCACCCATTAAACCCATTTAGTCCTGGAAGCTGTGGGGGGTGGGGAGGGGGTGGGGTTGTGGCGGCAAACCTGTGCAACTCGCCAAAACCGCGACCGGAATGTGGCCCCTCACCCCAATTGGCCACCCTTCCCGTCCAGGTTCCCGCCGCAGGATTGCCACATGCATTTCTGCGGCTGCGGCTGTTTTGGGGCTGCAGGTCTTGGTCACCGACAAATGGACTTTGCCCTTGCTCGAAAGGGCTCGGTCCTCGGGGCTGCGTCGGCGATCGCTCACTCTCCTTTGTTTGCGGCGCGGGGACGCAGACATCACAGACCTCTGCGCAGGTCTGCCACATTGATGATTTGCTGAAAGAGCGGATAGCCCTCGTCGAGTCCTTGGATGCGCCACGCGAGGCGGCAGGGTTCGTCGCACCCAAGTGGGCTTACAGTACAGGACGATAGAGTAGGAGGTTTTTCGCCAGCCCTCCCGATACCCGCTAACCTTCAATCGCGGTCCTCCTGAAACCCGACGTCCGAATACCGACCAGACCATGAAGACAGTGGTGCTATATAAATAAATAAACAAAAAAAATATATATACACATATATATACACATACATGTGTATATATATATATGTACATACAGAGATTGAGATGAACAGCACATGAACACGCCTGGATTGCCGACAGTACAACCTGCAACCGACGCGCGAACCATGCTACTCCTTCAACATGGTTCAAAGTACTTACAGTGCACTGACAAAAGGCTTCCATCATTGTGTTTCAGCGCCCTTTCTTCAGGCCGCCTAGTTTGGATCAATCAAGTGGTGCTGTGCCGATAACAAATTCCAAGGCAGGGCGGACATGTCTCAAAGCCTTATCCTTCCAACCAGCTCTCCGATCGCGGTCGCTTTTCTGGTCGTCTATCCTTCAGTGCAGCCTCCCGTCAGGCTCTTGAGGGCTTCGGGTCCCCAAGCCCCGAAGCTCAGCCTAATTGCTGATGAACCCTGCACAAGCGAAGCCGAGGAGACAGCCCAACCTGAAGATCCAAGTAGCGATGTTAAGGACGAAAGCGTAAATCCACGCTAAGATATCAGCGGAACGGAAGCCAAAAACCCTCCGGAGTGAACCAAATCCAAACCCTACAGTGAGGGGCGACAACCGAAGGAGTTAATCAAGCCAACAAGACAAAAGGCCGAAAATTGCAGCCTTAGGGTTAAGGCGAAGCAAGGCTTGGAAGGGCAAAAGCGAGGCTTTATAGGGGCAACAACGAGAACACGCTGGGTTCACGAGGCCCTTGGGCACAAGTGAGGGAAGTGCCGTGTGCTTGCACTGCCCGCGTGCTAGGTTATGGCCGCGCGGAGTAATATTGTGTGCAGTGGGCTTAACACGCTTCTTAGAAATGTTAAAAGCTTGTCTGACATGGGAGTGCTTAGTTCAGCGGAATCATGGCTTATTTGTTTACTCGTGTTTTCTCCATGGTATTACGTCTTTCGATTTCAGATGCAACGGCAGAATTTCTGTCCTGCGTTTCGCGTGGCCTGCGTGGGACAAAACCCATGTTATGAATGTGGAAGTCTCGAAGATGGTCTCTTTGGCTGTTGCTTTTCTTCCTATACCAACTTGCAGCTAAGTACGCAAGCAGGTGTTGGTTTCCATAAGCGGAGAACCGAAACGAAATTCGAAAAGTCGAAAAGTCAAAAAGTCGAAAAAAATAGACTTTTTCGGATTTTCTTGCGCTTTTCGGACTTTTGGGCTTTTCGACTTTTCGGGTTTTCTGGCAGTTTTCGGACTTTTTGGGCTTTTCAACTTTTCGGGTTTTCTGGCACTTTTCGGACTTTTTGGGCTTCTCGGCTTTTCGACTTTTTGGCTTTTCGAGTTTTCTCGCACTTTTCGGACTTTTTGGGTTTTTCTGCGTTTCGATTGTTCGACTTTTCGGGTTTTGCTGCACTTTTCGGACTTGTTGGGCTTTTCGACTTTTCGGGTTTTCTGGCACTTTTCGGACTTTTTGGGCTTTTCGACTTTGCCGCTTTTCGGGTGGTCTGGCACTTTTCGGACTTTTTGGGCTTTTAGGCGTTTTGATGTTTCGACTTTTCGGGTTTTCTGGTACTTTTCGGACTGTTACGCTTTTCGACTTTTCTTGCACTTGCGGGACGTTACGTGTTTTTCGACGTTTGGGGTTCGGCTGTTCGTTTCGGGTTTTTTTCGCGTTTTTGGGCTTTTCGTTTATTGTCTTGCCTTCTCAATTTTTTGGTTGTACAAGTTTTTGATTGGGCACTAGCTGACAAGATAGTCAAACGATCGTTCTTAGAGTCAGTCATAGTTTCAAGTGTCGTGGTTGTAGCTCGTTCGGGCCTTCCTGCTTTGGCCGACGGTGGGTGTTTGTCCTGCCCTAAGCCAGACGCACCACTAAGCAAAACAACCGATCCGTGTCGCTGGGGCATTGACTGTCAAAGGGCTCATGTTGAGTCAGGCCTGCTGTGTCGCAGTCACAGTGTCATTGTAGCGCTTAGATCAAGCATGCCTACACCTAGCCTTCATCGGTTTTATCGTAAAGGCGGGCGCACCACTAAGCAAGACAGCCGCTTCAGCAGTTGGCGATTGAAAGGGCGTTATCGACTTTCGCTATTTTTTTAAAGAGCTTGGGTTTTGAAAAGACCTTGTGGGGTCTGTTCGTGTCAGTGACTTTGTGTAGCTCTTCAAAGGTCTTCAACGATAGGGATCGGAGGGGTTGCTAATGGTATTCCTCAAAGCTCCTCGCACGATCATGCCCCGAAGCATGTTTCACATCGCTACGGCCCCAAAATTAGTGGTTTCTGCGAGGATTCGTACACTTAGTTAATTAGATTTTTTCTGTTGGTTCTACTCGGGCCCTGGTTGTCTTTGAAGTGCTGAAAAATGTCGCTGGGCTTGGAGTTGAGGGTTTGAGGCTGAGGGGTGTGGAGTTTAGTGTTTACGGCCGGAAGCTGTCAAAGGCATGAATCATAGCAGAGCTCCTGCAGGGATGAAACAGTATAAAGCATGCCCCATAAAACCTTAGCCCCATATCCTGCAATCCTCCAACCCTAAACCCTGAAACTCCAAACCCTAAACCCTAAACATCTCCAAAACCCCAAACTTAGGACCTCTATTGAGATCTCATGGTTGGCCTTTTTCTTCAGAGGTTGCTTCGAGGGTTCAAGCTTCTGTCCAGGAATCCGAGGGTTTCAGGGTTGAGGGTTTGGGGTTTAGAGTGGCATTTGCTGCGAGGATTCGTGCATTTAGTTAATTAGATTTTTCTGTTGGTTTTCCTCGGGTACAGCCCTGGTTGTCTTTGAAGTGTTTATTAATGTCGCTACAGGCATTGATGTGTTCCCTGGGCTTGGAGTTTAGGGTTTAACACTGGTGTACATGTGTATCTACATATGTGTGTGTGTATATATATACATATGCATACATATATACATACCTTTAGATATGTATATATGCATATATATATATGTTTATTACTGTATTCGGATACATGTATATACATATGCATGTACGTATAACCATTTTTGTGTACCCACACATAGCATATGCAAATGTTTACGTGTTTTGTCGTAGTGAAGACGGACATCCTCCCGCTGCTTTGATTTGGCCAGGTTTCAATCTCAATAGGCCCCGAGGCCAGAACATTTCCCCCAGTCCTGAAATCCTTTAGCATTATCCTAGATCTGCGTTTACTCTCTGCGGACCAAAGCTGTGCCAANNNNTTCTGCTGCGGTGACTTTTCGACTTTGTTGCCTTTTTGACTTTTCCACTTTTCGCGTTTTGCTATACTTTTCGATGTTTCACGGCTTTTCGACTTTTCGCGTTTTTGCTGTACTTTTCGACTTTTCGCGGCTTTTCGACATTTTTGGACTTTTCGCGGCTTTTCGACTTTTCGCGTTTTGCTGTACTTTTTGCGGCTTTTCGACCTGTCGTTTTTCGCAATATTTTATTTTGTTGCCACTTTTCGACTTTTCGCTTTTCGACTTTTCGCGCTCCCGTGCACACAGCCGTTCGCAAACACAGTTTGCAGCATGTGCATGGCTCGGCACCACAGCTTCGCCCCAGCATGGGGGGAACTCGGATCGCACCGACCCTGCCAGGCCCTGCCTTTGGATGCAGTGTACTTCTTGGCGCCCAGCTTGGAGAACATGGACCGCTTGGTGGAGGAAGGTCGTGAAAAGGGAGAGGTGAGGGTCTGGGGAGGGTAATACAACAGTTTCAAATCATCGGACACTTGAAGTTTTACCCTATTTCCGTTCATCCTACGAGTCGGAGCTTGCGGCTGCTAAACAGTGGGCTGTATTGCATGGAAGCCGTGGTGCCAGTGTGCGAATTGTATCGTGAGTGCTTGGCAAGGAGCTTTCCACCAAATCTGCGAAGTATCGAAGCTCCCATATCTTCTTTTCCCATCGCCTCGAGGCACCGGTTTCGTGTCCTTTCCGCTGGGATCTGGCTGGGCTCACATGTTGCGAAAACATGTGTCCATCGCTGGCAATCAGAGAAGCTAGAAGCTAGCACGGCTAAGCTCTAAACTATAGACGGACATGAAGCTCGATTGCTCGAGCCAGGATCTAATGCTGCAAAGATTGGCAGAGTCCCTCGAGGCGTTGGGAGCTGATCCGAGCTTTTGCTTGTGTCCTTCTCTGCGTGAAAAGCGAAGCGCCGTGTCGTAAAGCTTTATTTCGCTGGCAATGTTTGACCACTCTGCAGGCAGTTTCCAGGATTTCCACATTTTCGGAGCTCAACCTCAGCATGCTGGCCTACGATGACCACTCGTTTCACATGCAGGTCGGAAGGCTGAGATAATGGAGAGCCTACAAACCAGTCCCTGAAACCAGTGCTCCGAGCAGGACCATGGTGACAGCTTGAAGGGCCTGCTAGGCATCTCTTCGCAAGCTCTGTGCTCAGGAAGCACAGAAAGATGGCTAGGGTTTCTTCGTGTCGCGTTTTGTTTCTAAACCTCGATGTCCGCATATGATGGCTGAAAGACCACAAATGCCCGGACCCGGGAGCAGGATGGAGTAGGGAAAGTATTTCTAGAACGACTCTGCGCAGGAAGAACAGAAGGATAAAAACCCAACCATACACGTCCGCGGCCACGGTAAAAGCGAAGACAGCCCTGTTCTGTTAGGCCAGGCAGCAAGGGGTTCGGACTAGAGCCCGAGCTAGGGCAGGCTTGGCAAGTGGCGATGCGACATCAGAAGGTAGCATCGGGGCGAGGACTAGAACCCTAAGCTAGAAGGGCACCCTTGTGAAAGCAGCAGGCGCAGGCGCCCATACTCCTTTTTTCGTATGTGTCAGATCTCTCTGGCTCCGCATCCGTGCATGGCCTTATTCCCATCGTGCTTGTCGTGCAGTCCATGTCGCTCTTGCCGCCCTGCGGATACGACAAGACTGAGGAGGCTTTCGACTGGAAGAGAGCCGGATGTTGCATGGCTCTTACTGCCAGGGTTGTGCCCTGGCTTTTGCTCTCCATGCTCGCTGCAGGTCTGGCCACGCTCTTCGCGACGCTGGGGCAGGAGCTGCACTGTAGCCAGTCCGAGCCTGAAGAACTGCTCGATCCAAGTCCTGCGAGGAGCCGAGGGTGCTCTGTGCAACGCCCGGCGGAAGCGAGGGCCACTGTGAGCGTCTTGCACGAGAGGCCGCAAGATCGCCAATAGCAGCGATGTTATTGCACAGTTTAGTCCAGTGCTCACGATGCTGACAGGTTTGCATCAGGCATACTCCTCAGTCTTGGAGTCTTGTTGCTTTGGCGAGCTGGACGCCCCACTCGCTCGTAGAGTCGGTCCAGCTGATTCCGCTTCTCAGGCTGGAGGAAATGGAAGCTAGGGGGGGTGCACCCTGGAGGCAGGGGCCAGCGCATCCGATTCGGGGTCGAAGTTCAAGTTCCGTCGAACTTTCTTATCTCCTGTACCTGCAAAGGAGCCGTGCATCCTCGGAGACCTGTTCCCTTCTGATCGTGGACTGTGCAGCTGGCTGTGGGTTTGGCGAGTTGTTGTTGTTCACCAGGTGTCCATCTCGATGGCGTTTGCATGTTTGGCAACAACCGGGGTCAGAAAAGCGGGTTCAGGGTCTAAAAACTGATATCCCATTGGGGGCAATGTCCGATCGAGTAAACGCGGTAACTTGAACCATTGGGTTGTTACAGGAACCCTGTTTCACGAACTGGCTCCCAGCCGTTGCGGAAACCGGTCCCGGGTTGTAACCGGAACCGGCTGAGAGCCGTAACCGGAACCGTTTTTCAGCACCGTGCGAGAACAACGGAAACTGCCCTTCAACACCCTTGCACTCGCTTCCGACCACGTGCTTGAGGGCTTAGGGCCTTAGAGTGTAGGGTTTATAATATGGGTTTTCGTAGGATTCCCAGTAAAATCCTAGTAAAAGCCACGGGTTTTTGCAGGTTTAGGGGTTTAGGGTTCACGGCGGTTCAGGGTTTAGGGTTTAGGGTTTGGGGTATAGGGGCGAGGCGGTTCTGGGTGGGGAGTGTGCGAATAGAGGAAAAGCAGAGCGTTCATCATACAAATGTACTGTACAATCGGTGAGTTTTTGAGGGGGGGTGGATTTCTGGGTTTAGGGTTTAGGGAGAGGAGAGGAAGAGGAGAGGATCGAGGAGAGGAAGAGGAGAGCAAGAGGAAGGGGACAGGAAGAGGATAGGAATGGCTTTTGTCTAAGGGTTTAGGGTTTAAGGGTTAGGGGTTTAGGGTTTGGGGTTTTACGATTTTTAGTCTAGGGGTGAGGGATTACAGGGTTTAGGGCTTGGGTTCCAAAGCGTTTATGAGGGCCAACTAACGGCTAAGTGTTTCTTAAAGGCTTATAAAGCGCTTATAAAGGGCTTTTGAGGGTTTCTCATATATAAGGGTTTGCAAAGCATTTTTTTGGGCTTATCAAGAGCTTACACAGGTGCCCTTGTAAGCTTGTAAGAGTTTATATGGGTATGGGTTACAAGGGCGTCATCTGATGGGTTATAAGAGCGTATGAAGGGCTTCTCAGGCCTTGTATTTATGGCTTTTCATGGGCTTAATAAGGCCTTCTAAGGCCTCGTTTCATGGAGTTCAAAGGACTCTCTAATAAACGCAGTAAATTAACGTCTCAACCCAAAACCCGGTTTCGTTTCGTTGTTCGGATGCTTTCCGCAACAGCTCTCGCTGGTTGCAGTTGCTGGTCCCGCCCCCAGTTTCTGTTACTTGCCCCCCTCGTTCCTGTTACATTGTGGTTGGTTTATGCTTGCAGTTACTTACGTCGCGCGCCGGTTCCTGTTAGAACCCTCTCCCTGTCCGATCCTTGCCCGACTAATGGAGCATGATGCGGCGAAGTACTCATGGGAGCGCCGGTCACGGTTTCTATCATGAAGAGAGGGAGTAATGCGCAGGCCCCACATCGACCAGCTTGAAGCCAGTCAAAGCCTGATGAGATCTGATGAGTATCATGTAAGCATTGCAGGATCGTTCTGTGGACTGGGTGCCATTGCTCATACACGACTTGGGCTACGAGGTGGGCGATCCTTCCGGGGTTCAGCGTGTCAGCAGTGCAAAGTGTTCGCAATTTGAGCCGCAACTGCTTGCTCCTTGTGCGCTGGAGAAGACGTTCGTGATACTGAAGCAGTCCACGCGCGTCTTGCTCCTTTTCTATCGCCTGCATCCGTGCCTGTGGTTCTGCCTGTTATGATTATGGCTCAAAGCAGGACCATCGTATCACGGTTGGCATGTCATGATTCTCCAGTCAAGCCCTTGCGCAGTGAGAGCACGCACTTTTGGTGATGTCTTACTCCCGTGTGAATTGGAGAGTTGAGCAAAAGGGATACGCGTCTGTAGCGAAGCTCCCAACCCTCCACCCAACTTTCCCCCAGTCGAAGCAGCAGAAGCGGTCACCTCGCTACGAGAGAGACCTATGTTTCACCTGCCACCTTGACCTTAGGTCATGGTGCCCTCGAAATGAGGATCAGTCTTTATGGATGAGGTCAGTGCCGCCGATTGGCTAGGCACTCTTCCAGGCTGCTAGGCTCGGCAAATGCAGAGGCTGTATCTACACTGAACACGCAAACAGCAGATTCTGTCGCACAGAAGCTTCCTATCGAGAGTCGACGTACTTGAGTGCAGTCCTTCGAGGTTCCAATGAGGATTCGCACCTTCCAAGCCTACAAAAGGCCGAGGTGGGGCGAGTGTGCCTGTCGCAGGGTGTCTTTGCAAAGCTCTGCGCTCATCTACACTCTGCCGCACTCTGCGCCAGGTGTCCGAGCTCAAGGAGCTTGTGGACAGCCTCGGCGACTCACCGGAGAAACGGCGGCAAGCCTTTGGCCCCTTTGGCCAAGTCGCGGGGTATGGGCTGGGGAAGAAAGTCTTCGAGACTGGCACACTCGGGTTGAAGAGGCTTTGCAAAGTTGGCTCCAGGACTTCCGTCAGGTGCTTCTTGACTACATTGGGTACAGGGGCGAAAGGCTAATCGAATCATCTATGTGGTAGCTGGTTCCCTCCGAAGTTTCCC